AGCGCATACGACGCGCCTAGCGTTGGCACCGGCAGCAGCTGGTGGACGATTCTTCTCCTGACCAGGATTGCCAGTCCTCTGTAGGCAATCCCTGATGGCGAGGTGTGGTCCTCCCGGTAGACATGGAAGCCAGCCAGCTTCAGTTTGTCCACTGGTTTGAGGTGCGTCTCGTTGATCAGGGCTATATCAGCTTGGCGCTGGTCTAGCAGCAGCTTCAATAGCCTGGCCTTCTCGGGGGACATCCCATTGGCGTTCCAGAATATGATTCTAAGGTGCCGCTGGTCCATCGCAAATCAGTGACTTGATTGCGTCTAGGAGCAGCGGCACCGGGTCGTCTTGTTTTTGGATGAGCGCCGTCACGATCCCCTGCAGGATGCGGACGACGTCGTTTATTGAGAGCAGCGATCTTGGTGGTGGTTGTTGCGGCGCTGCTGGTCTCTTCGCCCTTCCGGTTGCTGCGGTGACCGGCGCCTTGGTCGCGGGGGCGGCAGGCGCCCTGGTTTTGGTAGTGGTGTGGGCGTGGGCGGCGGCGGGGGCGGTGGTGGCGGCGGTGGCGGCGGCGGCGGGGAGTGCCCGTTTCGCCTTCCTGCGTCTGCGCTTTCTGCCTGGTTTAGCGCCCGGCTCGTTTGCTGCGGCCATCAGTGAGCCCGGGGCGTTATTCTCGCCCCCTGGCTGTGCTTGTGCTGGTGTGGGTTTTGGAGCAGTGGTGGGGGCGGTGCGCGCCACGGTACCCGCCTTTGGGTTGCGCGTCTCTCGGCGGTATACGGGGCACGACGAATTGTTCGCCGTGTGTGCGCCTCCGCAGTTCGCGCAGGTCGGTGGTTCCTCCCTCGGGCGGGGGCACTCGCTGGCCGGGTGAGACTCGCCGCACCGCACACAGGCAATGGGCCGGTGGCAGTTGTGCGACGAGTGCCGGAACTGCTGGCAGCGGTGGCACTGCGCGGGGCCTTTCTTGCCCCGCCATGCTTCGATCTTGATCCCGGGCATGCTGAGTAATTCCGTTACCCCGTATATGCCCGGGATGGTGGTGTCGGTGCGCGCCACCTGGGCGTAGTAGAGACACCCTGGTCGTCCCTGGCGCGCACGGATTGGGCGGACATATTCCGCGTTGAAGCCGGCTGCTCGCAGTGCCTCTTGTATGGCATCCGTTGGGGTGTCGACGGGTAGCCCACGTATGGCCACCTTTACATTGCGCTCCGCCGGGAGCGAGTAGGAGAACCAGGCGATCCCCGTTGTCTTCTCCAGGTCCGACAGGTAGGCCTGGATGCTCCTATACTCAGCGTCGGAGCGCGGCGTGAAACGCACTCCCTTTCCAAAGGGGCGCGCGTTAGGCGCATGTCCCAGGCGCTTCCTCAGCTCCGTGAAGTGCTCGACCCAGTCGGGGAGCTTCTCGACGATGAGTGGCGGGTAGCGCGCCTTGGGGGCGGGGGCGCTCGATGGTCCGGGTGTGGGGGCGCATGCGTTGTCGGCGGCGGGGGCGCTTGTCTCCCTTGTGGCGGCGTGGCCCGTCGTGGTGGGTGCGGGGGCGCGTGCTTCCGCGGTACTGGTCGCGGTGGCGGCTGCGTACGACGTCGGGGGCGCGGTGTCTTGCGGTGGCGGCGCGAATGGTGGGAGCATTTGCGGCGGGTGGAAAGGCGGGGTTGTGAAGATCGCCTGTCGCTTCACCGGCTCCTTCGGCGGGGACGGGAAACGCTCCGGCAAAATGCTGTTGGGGGGCGTGGTGAGCAGGGGCATGGAGCGCGGGGGCGCAGCTCGGGGCGCCGAGGCGCGTGTGGGCGCCGCCGGTGGTCCCTGTTGTTGCCTCTTCGGTTTCTGCTGTCGTGGCGGAGCCGTAGCAGGGCGTGTTTCTACCCTCGCCCCGCCGGCAGGTGTTGCGGGGGTGAGGGCAGGGGGGCGGGGGGCGACGGTCGCAGCGGGTGTAGACCGTGTAGGTACCGCATTCCCATGCGGTCGTGCGGTCGGTCGCGGTATCGCGGACGGTGGTTGTGTGCCACCCGCGAGAAGTCCAGCGGTGGCCGGGTGTACGGCACCCGCGTCGCGGTCGGTGGTGGATGGGTGTGGGACACCCACGTCCATCGGTTCCGGTGCCGTCGTGCTGGCATCAGTCGGCGCGGGCCAGTCGGGGCGGGTCGCGCGCGGCGGCGGTGAGGGCGACGCCGGGGTGTCGGGTATCGAGGGGGGCGGGGGGAAAAATTCCTCCCCCGCTCCTACAGTGCTTCCTGTCGGGGTTGATGAGGGGGTGGTTGTCGCGTATTGTCTCGCGACTGCCTGCAGCGCCCTTATATCCGTTGGCGGTAGTCGGGAGTTCTTAAAAATGCGTCCTTTGCCCTTGCTGAGCTTGGCGGAGGAGCGCGGTGATGGTGGTGGCTCGCGGCCTCCGTGAGGCATGATGGGTGCGGGCGTTAGTAGTTGTTGCTGGGGGGTGGGGGGGGTGGCGGCGCTTTGGCGACGCGTCGGTCGGTACCCCGCGCGGGGGACCCGCCGAGCCGGTACCCGGGGCTAGCCGCTGGTGGCTGACCGGGCACCGGACACGACGGAGGGCCACGCGTTATCGGGGCAACGGCCGAGCGCGCACTAGTGTGGGCGAGCCGTCCGCGTCCGAGCTTCGGTCGAGTGCTTCTGTAGATTGCGGTCCGAGCGGTGAGGTGTAGGTTGGTGTCCGTCCTCCTTGGCTGCGCGGCGAATCCATGCGCGCGCTCGCGCCGCGCGGTCATACTTATACGGAAGGGACCGATAGTGCCGTGTGCAAAGCGGCGCCCCGCACCCCGCGCGCCCCGCGCACTCCGGCGCGCCGCTATTGGTCGAAACTATCATCTAACTATATCTGATATTGCCTAGTTGTAAATATGTAAATAGAAATATAAGTAGCATAGTTTGGCAAATAAAATCATTCTGGTCCACACCTCTCATCGGAGTTTTACTAGTAATGGAAGAAAAGAAGAAACCTCCTCTAGGACACTAGGCTCTCCTACCTAGCTCCTAAAAACATAAAGATTAATTTATGATGCCAAGTTGAAATGTCAATTTATTTTAGGTGTTGAATAATGACGCGAAAAGTGGTACAATATGGGTGGCGCGCCATGTACCCCAAAATCGAGACATATTTATCTCATGTGCTGGCAATGGTCAAGTTTCTTTGTGGAAATAGTAAGTGGACAATTCATTAGCTTATGGCAATATAACTAGGTGCCATTCCTATATATTCTTTTTCATCCTCGCATTCTTGGCAGAATAAAGGTCTCCGCTATTATAAAGGTCTCTGCACACAGCCGTCGCTTCCCATCACGTCGAGCGGGACGGCTCTTTGTGGCGTCGTCCGTAATATCTAGTACATTACAATTGCTTAGCGTCGCGTCGCTGTGCCGACGCGCCGCGCCCGCTGTGTGCCGAGACCTTAACTACAGAAATCGGTTGCTAACAGTGGCGTAACTACAGGGTGGCAGAACTGGCAGGTTGGCAAAATGCCACGGCCCCTAGCTGGAAGGGGACGACGCCATTCAGATGTTTTCTGATCTGAACTTCGGTTTTTTTTTATTTTTAATTGCCACGGGCCCCGAACGGTATAGTTAATTGGTTACCGCTATAGATTTCCAAATTCATTAGAAAAGGATAAGGTTGAAAATTAATTGCCGAACTTCCTCTTCTGTATCATTTTTGTGCATTCATGAGACATATCATCGGATGCAATTATAATTATGTTGTTCCACATTCGGTATTAATTCAATTCCCTCTTCTTTACAGTGAATATCCTGAACACAGATACCATGTAGACCACCAAGGAGTATCCAGTGGTGTGCCAGGGAAATTGAAACGTCTTCAGCGTATGGTCGTCAGCTCACAACCTATAAATGCTTGGGAATGGAACCGCGACCATCTTGGATTAGCCGTCGCTACTGCCTACGACCAGTGTGTTAGAGTTCTAGTGACTACCAAACTTAATTTGCAATAGATTTCGTTATTAAAGTAACAATTTATTATTGTATTTGTAAACTTAAAACTTGTCTTTAAGTTAAGAAAGACCGCAAAGATTACTGCAGACTGTACTTATTTTTATTTTTGGATTACAGTACCTTGTTTCAAGAGAAATATATTTAAGTTTTTATTTTTGTTACATTTTTTTTTTAATTATTGCATTTAAGTCTTAGTTGCAGATTTCCTAAGTTGCAGTATGCACCTTTGTCAAGTTAATGTACGTACCTATTACATTCATCATGAAAGAATTTTACACACAGGTTTTTTATTTTCAATTTTGTGTATGTGTGTGCGTGTTTATTCCACAACCGTTATTACGGTTATAATTATTGCACTTACTTTACTAGTTCAAGTAGCAATCAAATGATTAATTGCTGCACTCAATTAATAAACAATAATTGCTTTATCAATGTAAATTATTTCACTTGTTGGACAAGTTTATAATGGCCTAATGGGGTTAATTAATTTGTTTGTAAGAAATTTCCACACGGAATTTCCTGCATCTAGAAGGCAGAGGCAAAATACAAATAAAACAAAATATAAATTTTCTAACTAAAAGAGCGATTTATTGTTAGCCCTAGTACTTTAGGTACACATTATAAATAAAATTAAGGCTAGCATTCAGTTCTTATGACCACTAATGTTTTTCAAGTTAATTGATCGTCCGCGCCAAACTAAAGTCGTGTCGAGTTCATGGTAGGTACTGTCATTATTATTGAGCTTTAGTGTAGATTTTTGGAGTAATCGACATTAATTATCTTTTATACTCAGATTATTGATGAAAAATGTGTGGATGTGGCATCAATTACTTGTCAAACCTACACTTGCTCCTTCAAACAATTTGTAAATACTCGTTAAATCAATATTTGCGTTTTCGCTTCCCACGACTTTAATATGCCGCGACGATTAGTCGACATAAAAGCGTGACTGACTACATTCTTCACATAACATCATCACCCTAACGAAAATAATGCTAATTAATTCAAATTCTTAATCAAAAACGCAACATTATAATAACACAGACATTACCATCGCTACAAGTTTATGTATGGTCCAGTATTCCGTAGCTTGCTTAATCATGCAACCACACTAATAAAATTAATTCAAAATCATCCTTCTTTAATGGCTGATAACATACTACGCTGATTTAAACGACTACATTATATCGACTCTTTAAATAAGCATTCTTCTTTACCAAAATCTTACATTAATACACTAAACAATGACGTGCAATCCACTTGCATTTTGTATGTAGTACACATGTTAGTCGGAACAACACATTCAGTTATGTATCCTGTCTTGTTATTTATCACTTGAAGGCAATATGTTATGTGTAACCCCTAACTAGTGAATTGTACAAAAACTAAATTTTCATACTCCGTAAGCTAATGTTCGCTACTTCTATAAAACTTACATTATTTTTACACTCTCATGTATGATGGACTTATTATAATGTTTTGCTTATTGTAAAGCTTCTGTTTTTTCATATCTTGAGATCGCATTCGAGCAAGCGATTGCATCTTTTGCATTGAGACCTTTACTAGACGTTAATAACAATAATTTGCATTATGGATTGTAACAACGTCCAATACACAATTTCTAGGAACTGATGTTTAGAGGTAAAACAGGTGACGCACCAAATTGCTTGCATTTTGTTAAGTTGTAACTACTCGAAATACTTAAATGTTACTCAACTGTATAATGCTCTCATCTCACAGTCAGCGACAATTACTAAATGAAACCTTGAAATTGAGTCACATTCAAGTATTTTGGTGACTGATTTTTTCTCACAAAGCTATACAGTGCGTCACCTGCCTAAGGCCTCAGTCTTCGCAAAGTTGTGTAGTCAACTGCGAAATTAACCAATATAAATATCAGATCGCCAAATACTACGTTAATCATAGTGTTTAGCCATCCTTGCACTTTCGTCGACACATATCTGCCTATGACTACACCAATATTCACAGCATGTAACATCAATCAACATCGGCGACATTGACCTCTAAATATTGAGACATAACAGCCATACAAACATAGAATACTTCACTCAAATACAAATCCTCTCTAAATATAACAATCCAATGTTTCCTTACAATACTTGATGATTATAGAAATGAAAAAATAACTGCTTACGTTCTATTTATTTGTATATGTATCTTTAAATATATCCCAATATGTCGAATGTCAAGAAATGAGACCATATTGAAAGTATAATGTACCTTATTAAACATATACCAACTTATTGTTTGAAGCTAACGTTAGTAGTGTCTATGTGCTACTGCTAAAGGCTGGCTCGTACTTAACTATCGACTGTCTCACACGCTACGGAAAAACCAACATATTTACTTAACCACAAGTATAGAAATAAACGTACATAGAATATTTACATTGGATTACCTTACAATAATAGGGCTGGCACTACACTACCGACGTGATCCGATAAATAACAGCAAACTGTCAGAAAACATGGCGTCTGACCTTGTCTGATAGTGTAGTACCGAATAAAAAGCATAGGTGGATCCATAAAATATTGAGAAGCCTGTGCAATCAAAATTATCATAATCTAGATAAGTTTCGAACGAAACCTCTATTCATTAAATAATTCAGTTCATTCATAATTACAACAATCATTAATTCTAGCAATAAAATCAGCACGCAATGTACAAAGCTTTAAATATTTTTGTTATTTCCTGAATTTTCTCATCGCCTTAACATATCTTACATGTTGTGTTCAACAACTAAATATTAATAGGTTATCGCAAATCAACGATGAACATCAAGTTAACATAGACACCGAAACATGAAAGTAACATTATTTTGTGTACATTTAAATATATTTTAATGCAATTCATAGATAATATTCGATGCTAAAGACATTTAATTGGGAGATTAGTATAAATAAACAGGTTGATGGTCAGGAAATATTATAAATAAGAATATTTTCTAGGGGTGTAGTCGATGACATTGCGTAGGTAGTAGTAGGTGAAGCCACAGTGTAGGGAATATGTTCGCACTGTGTAAGCCAGTATATAAGTCATGCAGGTCCCTCACGTCGCGAGGGTCGCCATGAGCTCGGGCTGGCCGTCATGTTCATGTAACACGTCTCTTCATGCATTTTGTACGCACACGTCAAATTGCCGCTGGCGACCTGCAACGGACAGAATACATTTATTATTTATTACCTTCATAAATAAGTTACCAATCAGATAGATACTTGTATCGTAGGTACTGTGTACTACTAAACATAACATAACATCACCCCTTTTATCCCCGAAGGGGTGGCAGAGGTGCACATTACGACACTTAATGCCACTGTACAATGTAACACCTACTTTTCACTATTTATGTTATGAGTCCCATGTAATAGGGGGTGAGCCTGTTGACATAATTATATCGGGCACAATTCCAGATTTCGTTATTACTGAGATTCTTTTAAAAATTCTTTTTATAATTGCCCGGCAGTCGCACTTGTGACCACTTGGCCAACGAGGCATTATTGTACTATTACTATTTTATCTAAAACCTGTTGTTCAGTGTGGTAGGAAAATGTTTTTAATTAATGTGTATAATGTGTTTCCGTTTGTATGCATACAACCTTTATACATATTTAATTAAGTTCATTTACAATTTGTTTTGTTCTTGAATGTTTACGTGTTTGAAGTTGTTAATGTTGTAATTTATTTCTAGAGAAGAGTTATCGCTCAATAACACAACTAAATTACTACTAGTCTAACAAATAAATTATTAACTGTATTGTTTTTTACCTTGAGATCATGGCAGTTACCTATTTTCAAGTATTTTCCCAAGATAACATACTTAATATTATTATTTATGTAATTAATGGATTTTACGACTTCATTTATATTAAAAATCGCCATTATTTACTTCATTATCATCGTACAAACCAATGTTCACTGATGAACATAGGCATAACATAACAACACGCCTTTTTATCCTCAAAGAGGTAGGCAGAGGTACTCATAATGGCATACGGCATGTACCTATTTTCTTTATTACATTTGCCGTATAACAAAATAGAGTGCCATATTAAACGCTTAGAAAAACCGTATCGTTGACAATACATTCAATCTATCTACAAATAAGCTACATAATGTTTATTTACCTGTGCGGGTGTATCGAGATTCAGTCGAGGTTGTCCTGGAAGATGAGGCGCACGTACCCGGGCGAGCCCTGCAGCGGCGCCGCGCAGAACGGGCAGATCGCGTGGAAACCGTTTGTACCGTGGGGAATGTCCACGCTAGCCCAGTATCTGCGAATACAATGTACAAGTTATTATTAATTTAAAGAAAGGAGAAGAGTGAAATAAATAAAGAAGGTCTAGGTTCTAATTTTCTTTTGAAAATTGTTATGCTGATTGATAATTTCTGCTATAAGTCTTTTAGGGTTATGACTTTCTATCGAAACAATTAATCATATGAGGTAATATTGTTTCTGCTATTAAAATAGGAATGGGAATAAGAAGGTTGACCAATAATACATTTTTAACATCACGCCTTTTATCTCCGAAGGGGCGAGCAGAGGTGTACATTATGCCACTGTACAATGTAATACCCACTTTTCACTATTTATGTTATGAGTCCCATGTTATAGGGGGTGAGCCTATTGCCATATACCGGGCACAATTCCAGACTCTGTGCTGCAACTGTGAATTTTTTGAAAAACCCAGTAATATTTTGCTCGACCCGGGAATCGAGCCCGACACCCGTTGCCCGGCAGTCGCACTTGCGACCACTCGGCCAATGAGGCAGTTTTACAAATAAAATATTTAAAATGAACGATCATCATCATTCTATCTATATAAGACGTCCACAGCTGAACATAGGCGGATGCCTATGTAGGGGAGCCTAATGAATGATAATTGCGAATATGTCCGTATGGATTGAGGAGCCACTTTCGATTTAAAAAGGAAGCTCGCCCCCTTATTTAGTAGGGAAGTAAATAATTTTGTAGACCGAATTCTGAAATTTGTAGTATAATATGTCTAAAGTTATGTAACTGTGAATGTGGCTCCTCAATCCAAACATCTGAATTGAGGAGCCACCTGAAACACGGAAAGTATTTCATGTATATTTTTGAAAATTTTGTATCATTTAGTAGCAATTGTGTATAGTGTCTACTAAAAATTTGAGCCCAGTATTGTTTATATTCAAGAATATACAATACTTTTAATGTGGCTCCTCGATCTATACACAAGAGCATGAATTGCCATGAAAGTTATTGGTCAATTTATATTCCACTCTAAAGACATTTAGTAGTAAGTGTGTTCGAATTTGTAGTATATGGACAAAGTAGTAGACTGAGCGAATTTAATAAATAAATGCATTTCATTTGGCTCCTCAATCGTGACGTCTGCATAATAAATAATTGACTGTACCTACCTGAGATCAAAACGGAATAAAATACCAGAGACACTAACATTTAGTATAAACGGTCTACTAAATACATATGCACAGATCAACATTGTATATGTTCGGTATCTGAAAAACAAATCACTTCTGAATATTCCTTACGAATTCGCTATTTAGGGTGACCATGTTATATGAATTAAACTAGGATGATTCATTTTTGAAATTTAATTTTTCGACAATATTCGGTACAAAGATT